CAATGAATAATGCAAGAAAAGTGTTTATTAATTAAAGTTCATATAAGTATGGTTCTTAAATCAGGTTTGCTGCTTATAAAACCATATACATATGTACCATAGCAAAATACATTATGGGAAAATACTACAGGTACTGCAGTACTGTACATAAATCAATGCAAGAAAGATAAAACCCCAAAAATATTTTTAGGTGAAGAAAGGGTTGTAAAGATGTCCCTACTCCAGGACCTCCTATGCACACCTATAATTACTTCCTGTAATATATAGGAGTTATGATACAGAGAAAAATAATATGCACATATGAATATTGTCAAAGTTACTATCCAAGAGTCCTTAATTTGACAAAGGCGGATCCACCTGAAAAGTCTTTGTGTGTACTGCAGTCATAAATAGGAATTTACAAAATACAAAAATATCAGTATTAAGAGAACTGGTGCCATCAAAGTTAAGAAAAGCAGAAAAACAAAAAAGAAAAACCCAGAAACATAAAATTAAAAAATAACCAGTCGTGGTACATATACAAAAATAATGTAAACATTGGAGAAAAAGCAAAAATAATTTATCTGAACACTTATAATGGTTAAATCTCACCCCTTCTGCAAATGTTTTGCTGTGAGGCCAAAATACTCTTAATGAAGTGGTCTGGGTGCCATGTCCAGCTAGGGTTAACCCATTTTTTTTATAAACATAGCAGTTTCAGAGAAACTGCTATGTTTATAAATGGGTTAATCCAGCCATCAAATCCTCTAGTGGCTGTCTCACTGACAGCCGCTAGAGGCGCTTGCGTGATTCTCACTGTGAAAATCACAGTGAGAACACGCAAGCGTCCATAGGAAAGCATTGTAAATGCTTTCCTATGAGACCGGCTGAATGCGCGTGCAGGAGAGGAGGAGAGGAGGAGGATTGGAGGCGGAGAGCTCCCCGCCCGGCGCTGGAGAAAGGTAAGTTTTAACCCCTTTCCTCTCCCCAGAGCCGGGCGGGAGGGGGACGTTGAGGGTGGGGGCACCCTCAGGGCACTATAGTGCCAGGAAAACGAGTATATTTTCCTGGCACTATAGTGGTCCTTTAACTCCAGTATGTGCAGGTGCAGCTTCAGTATGAACCTCCAAATGTTAAGTAAACTTCTTGGCAGGTCCTGTAGTTGGTCCGGATCAGGGTTTACTGGGGTCGAACAATTCTTTTGGATTTTTGGAGATAACTAATGAAGTGGGCCACCTCAATACCTGCACCAAACGTTCAGTAAAGTGCCAACACATGCATATTTTTTGTTATACTAGAGATGTTATCCATCTTAACTATTCATATTCATCTACATTTTGCAACTCAATGTACAATAACTCGTCAGTGAATACACTGAACTGCGCTATTTTTATTGGCATTTATTTAGTTTTGATGATGGCTACTGTTTGTCACTATGTAACAGATATACATAGTAAAAAAGGTAATTGGGGGCACACCAGAGAATGCATTTCTTAGCAGTGGTGCTATCGTAGATACAAAAATTTATACAAAATACAGATTCAGGAAGAGTGCACACACAAAAAACACAGTTTTAAACTTTTACAAGACAACTTAAAATCACCTATCTCAATTATCAAATCCGGTGAATCAGTTCCTTAATGTGGCCACCACTACACCACAGTACCCCAATATCTGTGGCTTCTACACTAATTTTAATGTGGAAGACAAATTAAATAGTGAAAATGCTCAATAATCAAAAGTGTATTTCAATAATTTAATCAAAATTAAATAATGCTAGTGTTAAATAAACTAAAGCGTGTTTAATTATTTTATATATTTTGAATCTATTATTTTATATCTGTGTATCTCTTTATGCAATTTAATCAGCAGGAAATCCAGGAAGATGGAATTGTGATTTATACCACCCATTTGCCACTTTTGCTGCTAACGCAATCACTGAAGATTGCATATATAATTCCCATTTCAGTCAAATGGTATGTTGTTTTAGCTTGCTGTTACATATTAAGACACTTCAATCAAAAACCTTTTGAAGTCATCATAAATAGCTAATTCTTTGCTTTTCTAAAGGAACTTGTTCAGAAATTTAGATATGAAAAAGCAATTACATTTTTCTTTCATGTTCCACAGCTTATAGCGGTGATGGTAAAAAAAAAAAAAAATAGAAAAAAAATAAACTTGAAATACTGGCAAACTGTACTGTTGGGATTATACTGGGATTATGCTTGAATGGAAGATTTGAACAGGTTTTCATCAAGTTTTTATTTGATTACCTATTGTCAACACTGCTATGTAAATTAATAAAGAGGCTGTGATGGCAAAGTAACTTAAAGTTACCCATCTCATCCATTTTCACATTATGTAGTGTGGTTGATTATATTCATATGTCTCTGAAGATTGCAATCACACTCATACAAAAAAAAACCATGAAAGGGCAAAAGAAATTGCAAATTTTATGAATCCTGTTATTTCTAGCTTTGTATTTCGAATATAAATATATTTAAAGTGAAATTGTTTCCCCAATGCAATGTTTAAAGTAAGTGTGTAAAGTTAATACAACCGATATCCTATTTCTTAGGATTTAACTGATAAATCTGATGACATGAGTAAGGAAGCTTAAAGGGACCGTCTAAGTACATGATTTGGGGGCTTAGATTTTGCCCCCGCAGCCTTGTAAATGCAAACAGTTTAATATGTTGCATTTTTCATTTGATTTCCTGTATCTGATGGCAGATCATATATTTTAAAGCATAACTGCATATATAAACTGACCTTATGTATATACACCTGTGTTTGACAACTTGCTATGCATCAATTAATTATATATATAGTACATATATAAAATCTATAGCCTACTAATATAAGGCATGGATCGGTGCATAATAGTCAAAATATGCCAAAAATGTCACCTATGCTTGTAGTGTAAATGAGTTCATGTTATTAACAACTAAATGTATTCTATACAACTAGGATGTTACAAGATAGTATATTAAGGAGTTGTTGTTTTTTTACTTCATCTTTATTTGATTTTTGTCAGTATAAAACACACATAACAAACATTGATCTAAAAAATAACAACAAAACACAAAAAAAAGAGTGTTTACACTCTCTGAGAAGAGAGAATAGCAGTAGAGATAAGCCCTCAAGAAGCGTCTAGGGCAATTCCCTATAAAAGTTAATAGTTTACAGAGATTCCAGTTTATTTATCCATTTGTCCCATAAACCAGAATATCACATTTTTGTATTTAAACTGGTTGTGATACGTTTTTCCATTTTTAATTGGTAAGATTGTTGTGCCTTAATTAAGTGCTAATCAGGCTTAGTGGGAATTTTCCACTGTCTAGCTATAACAACTTTCACAGTTGTTAAAGTGTGAAGCAATAATGTTAATGAATTCCTTTTATTTTGAGAAAGGTTCTGATGGAGAAGCATCACTTCTGGTTTAAAAGTGATGGGGTATCCCATCAAGTTGTTTAACTTAGAGTAAACTTACTTCATGTTGCTTCAATAATAGGGCATTTCCACCACATGTGTAATAGCTCTGCCTCCTGTTTATCACATTTTCAGCAGTTTGATGATGATTGTGGATATATCTTTTTTAGTGTTAATGATGTGTAATGCCATCTATTAAGAGCTTGTAATGGAGTTCATTTAATCCCAAACAGTGAATATTTCTATTAATTAAAATCATTGAGTTATACCAGTCTCTGGGAGAGGTAGTACTTCTCAAATCTTGTTCCCATTTACGTAATGTGATTGGGGTAAAAAAATTATTTCCATTGTTTTAAGAAGGCAATTACTAACAGAGATTCATGTTTTAGTATCCATCTTTTTATTATTTTATCGAAGAAGCAGAGACTTTCTGATTCAATACTGACTATTAGATTCATTGATACATATGCATGAGTTTTAAGGGAGTTTAGCTATTCTTTGTTTGTAATCTCATAATTAGAAATTAACTCTTGAAATGGTTTGATTTTACTTTTGTTCACTAAGTCTGATATCCGAGTAATGCCATTGGAGACACACTGAGACAGATCTGCATCACTCAAGAGATCACTAAAAGTGTCTATTCTCAATCATGGCACAATTTGCCACTTAAGACCCAATCTTTCCTTAATCTTGTACCAGTTTATTAAAATCTGGCTTAATGAAGAAATGTTCTGAAAAAAAAGTAATTTTTTTGATAGATTCTGAAAGAAGCCAGAAAACCGACGCTTATTTTTTGTGTGAACTAATTATCTTCAGTTCAAAATTGTACCAACTTTCATTGGTGTAAAGTACAGATAGCGTGGGCTAGTAAAGATGCCTGATTGAGTCTGTTTAGGTAGGGAAGTCCAAGTCCTCCCTTATCGATGTTTTTAAAAAAATAATTTTAAGCTTATTCTCTGTCTTTTTCTTCAGCCATATAAATGTAGAAAATAGAGACTGAATTAACATAATCCAGCTCTTAGGGATTTGTAAAGGCAATAAACTTAATAAATAAGTAATTTTGGGTAAAACATATGATCTGATGGTGTTAATCCTGATTTCCTTCTTTTTCCATCTTTTTAAGTTGGCATTAATCTCTTTTATTAAAGGTAACAAGTTTATCTTGAGCCATTGTCGTGGGTTTGTGGAAATCTTTATGCCTAAGTAGGAGAAGTATTCTTTAGCCCAAATAAAATCATACCTCAATTTCTGCTATCATCTTATTGTTCATGAACTAAAGGTAGAGCAGTGGATTTTGAAGTATTTAAGTTCCGTAAGGCCATCTGGACCCGGGCCTTTTTAGGTGTCGTGTATAACCACTGTGTGTAAGAACAGTGGTCTCCAGGTTACAATCTGTTTACATTACGAAGTGGAACGCACGGCCATGTTATTTCTCGAGTGTGGAACGCATATTGGTCACGTGATGAAAAACGGAACACGTGACGTATGCGAAACGTATGACGTATGCGGAAGTGGCCCAATACGGAAGGAACCCAGTATTTTCGGTAAAGTAATCACACCTGGAGAAAAACACTGGACGAATAGAAATTTAGAAGAAAGAAGACACCCACTATTCCACCAATGACTTGAAGGGATTAGCCCTATATAAGATTGTTTGTTTGGTAGCGTTTTTAGGATGCCTTTTGGTTTTGTACTTTGGATTGTTATTTTATTTAATTGAAAGAGGTCCCTGAGGAAGTCCTTGTGTATAAGGACGAAACGCGTAGGACCTGCGATTCTTTCATATTTGTTTTTATAATTTTTATCTGTACACCTCCTGATTTTATGAAGTGAATAAATCGCCTCTGAAGTATTCATTTGGTTGGAGTTTGTTGGACCACCTTGCTGACCCTGATACCCCATTGGCTATCACTTGATGAGGGATATTTAACCAAATAAAAAACACCATCTACATCGTGGGGAGGCACCCATAATACGCTTTACCAATTTGGAATATGTGAGTGCATATAAATCATCAGATTATTTTATAGCACAAAGCAATATTCACACTATGTTTTATCCTCTATTGTAGGTACACTATCAGAATCCCAAAATATCCTATCAATTACACAGTCAACTTGTCGATTGCTTTATAAATTTCATTTCTTGAAAAGAGCATGTTTAGTTTTCTAATTTGAGAATTAGATAATTTTCTTGAAATTTTGCAGACTTATAAATAGAGGCAACTCCTCTCTTTTTTTTTGTCAGTCATCGAGGACTGAATAATTATAGGAAAATCTTTTGAGTTAAAAGTAAATGTATCTGCCTGCCTCCTGTGGGTCTCCTGAATTGAACATATATCAATTCTCTGTCTTTTCAGTGTCTGGTTTAAAACTGATCTCTTAAACTAGGCATTGAGTCTGTGCGCGTTTAGTTTAGCAAACTTAACCATTATCAAAAGATTGGGGGCCACTCTCTCTTTTCCACAGAGCATACATTAAACTGCACAACATTAAGAAAGCAAAAACGTTGAAGCAAGTGGGTACAAAAAATAAAAAAATTTGAAAATTGAAAATTAAAAACATAAATTTGACATGTATAGGTAGAACAACCTTCCCTAAAGAAAATCTCCAGATTTAGGTACTTAAACAGTACCATCCCTGTCGAACCCAACCCCATTTTGGACAGGGAGATGTGCCTATTCCAAGTACACATCTAACAAAAAAAAAAAAATGAGAGCCAAGTGGCGGCTGAATTATGAGCCTGTTAAAAGAGATATACAAATTCATAAAAAAAATAAAAAATAGGCTTAAACCTTTTTTCTTTTTCTGTAGCCCATGTGAAAAAAGTACTGATTAATTATATAAGTATTAATGCTGTTTTGTGTGGAGTTAAGTGCAAATTAAATGTGAAAACTCTGGTATACAAAAGTGGCTTTCTTTCATTTTTTATCATTCCACCTTTAAAAAGTGCAAATTTCTTTCTCTCTTTCCTTTTCCCTTCTTACTTTCTTTTTTCTTGCTATTTAGAAAATTCTAACTTTTTATGATTTCCCTACCTCTCCCTTTATCATTTATGACTATTATCCTTAACTATATTTTGTTTTAAACCATGTGTTATCCTTATTCTTTACATTATTTTTTTTCTGTTGCCAGAGAGAGAAAAAAAAAGAAAACAAATGTCTAGTGTATTATTTGGTTAAGTGCATACAACAAAGATTATTAATTTCAAATTATACTTAATGTGGATTTAATCCTCTTTAGTTCTTAATCATAGTTTCAGGTGTATTAAAATTTTTAGTAGTATTCTCAACCTATAACGTGTGTATCATTTGAAAAACGGTGACATATACCATTTGTAAAAAGTAAATTAGTAATAAACACATTATTCTTCTATGGGCATTATAGTTTATATTGTTTTAAACCTTTCCTTTACCTTTCACCTGGCTTTCCAATCTTTCAGGAATTGTCATGAAAAGCAGAGAATGGAATAAAAAAAAAAAAAAACTGTTACATAAGCACAATTTGTTACCCTGGGAAAACATAGCATATCATATAGGAGATTTGTTCTAATATGTCCATTAATTACATTAACCAATTTGCACTGTCTATGATGTAACAGTATTTCTAAGAGGAAAAAAATATATACTTATTTAGTGCTGCAAAGTAAGTTATTTGGATGAAGTATGAAAATTAAATGTAATGTTCTTTATCTGCCATGCAATTGTTGGTAATATTGTTGGTAATATCTTTTTTTAGAGTAACTTTTCTTCATAAATTTTCTTTAGTTATTACTCCCAGATTTATTTCTCAGTCCTATTTTCTTCCAGCTCGGCGAAATGTCTTCCTGTATTTACTGCTGTTAGAAACTTTTCCTTTTCTTTCACATTTCAAATTCCTCTCTCCATCTTCTTTTCTCAATGAGTTATTATAAGAAAAAAAAACGAAAAAAAAAAACTTATTTTATCTGCTTTAGGCTTTCATTTTCCTTAAGTAAACAAATATTTTACTTTCTTACAATGTTGTAATTTTTCAGGTGTGTCAAAAATGAAAGTATTAGCTTCAAATTTTAAAATAAGCTTCACAGGGGAACCCCATTGATAGTGTAGGTGTTTGGCTCGAGGATCTCTGTTAATTTGATGAACGTTTTCCTCTTTGATCTAGTATAGAATGATATATCAGGGAAGATTTGTACCTTCTCATAGGGTGCTTGTAGGGTCGCTTCCTTAAAGATAGTAAAACTTGCTCTTTTATACAAAAGGACGAGCAGCATATCAAGACATCTCGGGGGAAATTTGAAGATAGCTTAGGAACTCTATGCCAGCTTTCCATAAGACAGCCATGTTTTTCCATTGTAATGTTAATGGATGCAACATATTGTTCCAAATATTCTTCTAATTTTTCTTTAGTTATTTCTTCTGAGATGTTTCTCAGTCTTAGGTTATTGCGTCTCATTCGATCTTCTAAATAAGCAGCTTTTTGTTCTTATGAGATCACTTTAGCTTGTATTTGTTGAAATTCCATTCGAGTTTGAGATAAATTCATTTTGGATTTTTTTCCAAATTTTCAGAGATCTTTATATATATTGCTAAAAGATCTTTTTTATATTCATTTTTCATTTTTTCAAATCTGATTTCCAGTGCACTGTTTAGTAATTCAACAGTGACATTTTGTTGACCAGTGTTTTTTTCTATTGAAACACTCTCAGCACTTTTCATGAAGTTATCTGGTGAGTCATTTTGAATATCAACCTTAGGAGTATGTGGAATAAAGAAGGATGAACATTTGTCCAGTGAGTCTCCTTTATTATCAGTGTTTTCCTTTGACGGTCTTTGGTCTTGGGTCTTTCTGTTAGCCATTATCGTATTGCTATTCTCAATGGGAATAGTGAATTACAACGTATACAATAAAAAAAGTCTCTTTAAATTTACTTTGTCAGGTTTTCTAGCTCTAGTTTCAACCATGCAGAACTCCACCCGTGTCACGCTTTTGGGTGGGGTGTATGTTTTGTCTATGCGGTGTAGCTATAGAGTTCAAAATTTAATGAATATTTCTCCTTTTTTTTCTTCTTCTTTTTCTTTCCTTTTTCTCACCTTCCTCTGCTCTCTCTCTTTTCTTCCCTTTTCACTTTTCTTTCCTTCTTTCTTGTTCTATCCTTCCACCTTTTTGACTTTAGTTAAAAAAATTGCACTGTATAACTTTATAATCCTGAGTTTTCTTTGGTTATTGGTGCTGTATTACATCTGTGTCTTGTTAAACATCACAACCCTGAGATGTTGATGTCTTATTATTCTCTTCTTAATCTCCAGTTTTTAATTAACTCTTGGACTTGCCCTTAAGTATTGCCATTGAATGTTGCTGTTTCACCATACTTCAACATACGAAGCTCCCAGTTCCCTCCACCTTACCACTTGATATTCTAATCGAGCAGGTCCCTCTTGTTTCAATATAACACGTTGCAAGCGGTCTCAGCTGCAAGATCTTATCAAGGGCACCTGCAACTCCCAGTCACCTCCACCTCACCGCTTAGTTTACTGCTCGAGCAGATCTCACACTTGGATGTCGGTTGTGTAACTAGGTTTCTCCATCAGTGTTTTACTCCTGCTTCATCTCTTCCAGTGCATTTTGCTGGCTTCTTTCTCATGGCTGGTCTCTACCCATCAGTTC